TGATGATGATGATGATGTTGATGATGATGATGTTGATGATGGTGATGATGATGATGATGGTGATGATGATGATGAGGATGTTGTTGATGATCTTGATGATCTTGATGATGATGATGATGATGTTGATGATGATGATGATGATGATGATGATGTTGATGATGATGATGTTGATGATGATGATGATGATGATGAAAGCCAACTGGATACACAATGCGTGAGAAACAGGCTTGTTCGCAAATAAAAATGGGCTGAACATACCCCTTAATGACACAAGTACATCCGAATTGGACTGAATTGCCTAATATACATTCAATAAAGTGCTTTTGAACGAAATACAACTATGGGCGCTGATTGTGCAAAAATTTATTCCATGGATAGGAATAAGGGTTTTAGTCAATCATCCTTTTACTGGACAGTGCAGTCCCCTTCTTCCATGAAAATAAAGAATTTCTAGCAAGATAAATAACCCTTTTTAAAATTGTGTTACTTGTGATTGCTACCTCACTGCTTTTCCTGGGTTTATTTTGATTCGAGCGGTTTTGATTATGGATATCCATTGATGAGAGACGGTCTAGTGAACTTGTTTTGCGCCGGTTCTTCAGAGCAATGTGATGCAAGACGAATGGACGGTTGTCGACTCCACAGCCTCGATATTCCACGGTTAAGGTCTAAAAACAACAGTCCAATCTTAAAACTGATAGGTGAGTAGGAATTCGAAATACCCGGTTGGTACGTGGTAAGTCATCTCGTTCTTGTGAATCTGGAACAAACAAACATTGACGCCCCTTTTTATTCTGCGTCTTTCCGTATGGTACAAAATTTGCCTATTCCATCGGGGTATGTTAATGAAGTCCCGCGGAAGATAGTTTAAGCCGGTTGTAGGCTCCCCTGGGTACCCCTCACCCATCCAAGCCAAAGGAATGAGGCCGGAAGTAAGTTAGAAGGTAAAATCCTACCAGAATGGATAGGCCCAACTTTTCGCCTGGTCACATCACGAAGTCACTGGTGTTTAGTTCATGCAATTGATGACCTGAACACAGACCTATATGTAATTCAGGACAACCAGTACATCATCCATTTGTTTTTTCACACAGCGCAGCATTTGTATTATTCTGCCGGTGGTTACAACCGTTCCTCTTCTGTAACGATGTTTCGTGATGCATGAACGGCACGAGTGTCAGGATAACCTGAACTGCTGAACGAACACAGGCTGTGGAGATCACGCGAAGTTTCCATCCGACACACGTTCAACAAACTACAATGTGTCAAGTCATTCAAATCTTTCCAATCGATTGGAGATTCTGTGGATAATTCCCAGGTATTTACGCTTTGACCATTGATAGAATCAGCGTATAGACTGAACAGCATCCACATGATGGGTAATTTTGTTCTCCAGCTGGGCGAGACTACCCTTCGGCAGTTACGGTACCTTTGTTCCATCAACAATTAGTAGAATTCTTCACAATACATACTAATAAATAATGTGTAAATGAGTGAGTTTCGATCTTGGGCGTGTGACGGAAAGTTTTGTTTAAAACCATTCACTGACAGCTGTAACGAGTGAGTAGGCCTCTCTACTGCAGGTTTCCGAAGGTTTTATCGAACCACCATTTGCAAGGGAGCCTTGATTCGATTACACATCCTTACGTTTGAGTCATGAACTTCCTCCATATTATCTACCTAAGTAGGTCTTGCAAATGCGCTCAGTTGAAAACGGTATTCTGGTGCAGGTAGTCCTTAAATCATGTAAACAAATGGACACCGATTTTTGTTTACCGTACGTGCCGAAAAGAACGGTTGGTCGTTTGTTTACAGGCTAGCCTATGTATTCGTCAGATGATTGTACACTTCGTTTGTGAACGAGCAGTTTGTGTGTGTGTGTGTTCACCCAAGGAACGATTGTCTTGTTTAAGACCAATCCTGGTGAAAAAGATTCCAGTCGAAATTTTCAAACGAATGTTGTACCACTGGATCAACAGATGCGCATTTCCATAGAAGGTATGGAGCATTGGGCTTGGTCACACTTCTTATAGGAAGCTGCAGGCATTCGGTGGGATACACCTTGATTTGATGTGATACAGAAGGTTCTTCCAGCCATGGGGGAGGCGGTAGGTTGGGTTCACTCCAAGTAGGCAGTTCCTCCGGCGGTTCGGGCAGTGGAGATGATGCAGCCGAATCGTCCTTTTCATCAGTCACAGCGATTTTCTTTCCCAGGCCGACACGTTTTTTGGTTTCTTCTTCCGGGGCACGTAGTAGGATTGCTTCAACGAGAAATACTGGATCGTCTTCCTCCTCTTCCGTCTCGTGTACTGAATGTAATGATGACCGACTCATGACTCTTTCCACTACCGATGATAATTCTATGTGGGCTTTGAAGCCCGTTACTACAACTAGTGTGTGCTCTCGGCTGTGTAGAACTAGTCTAGTTTGATGCATTGATTCTGCCCAAATTTGTACAACTTCGCCAGCTGGATAAAGCCAGGATAATAGCGTGTAAGATTTTGTATAGACTGTTCCATAAATGAGCCGACTTATGAGCTGTCTTGTTGAAAATGTGTTCGGACTGCAGTTTTGCCAGTTTGTGACACAGCCTTGTTTCTCGGAACAGTGGAAAAGATTGTTGTAACCAGTAGAACAATGCACCTGTGAGCCTTGCACATCTTTGCACATTGTATCCGCATCGTCCATGCGATAAGGTTGATTTAGGAACCGGAGCATGGAAGACAGTTTTCCCACGTTCTCATTATATAGAATGTTGCAATTTGAGTTTTGGTCTGTTCCTCCGTCGCACCAGCTCTCGACTGGTAATCCCTTTGTTCTTAGGCTGACTTGCAAGCTCACCTTTGGTGAAACGCTCTTCTCTGTATTGATCATATCAGAGGCTACTGTTCGGCTCGGGCTTGCGATCGGTTGTTCCGCCTCTATGTCACCAGAGGCTGCTTCACTAAAATATTGATTCACATAGGGTGTGGGGATTCTTTCTTCTTGTTGTGGTTCTTCACAGAAGGTCGTTGTAGCAAGCATGCCCACTGGATGATTTTCAACTCTCATGGTTGCATTTGTGTTGTGATAAGCTTGTTGAGCGACAGGCAATGGCCTGTCACCCTCCAGGATGGTTCCTGAATGTTTTCTGGAGGTTGCCGGCGACCGCGACTCAGCAGAATTAGGATTCGTGATATCTGGGAGATTAGTTCCTAAAAGCGTTTGAAGTTGGTCCAAATAAGAAGAAATAACGTTGTAAAGATTCTCAGTGCCCTGTGTGCTTGAAGCGTTACCGTACAGTTTGTTTATGTTTGTTCGAACTTTAAGGTACCACATACATACCTTGGCGACAATAGTTTCCAGTTCGGAATGGTAGCTATCCGCATCGTGGGAGAGCTTTTTTCCAGCATATAATTTAGTTGTATCTTGAAACTGGGTTTTGCTCTTGGAATTTTCCTCCATCATTACTGAATCTTCTTCGCGTGACTCCAGGTCATTCGACGCGTGTAAATGGATTCCTTTTCTTAGGGAGTTGTGTATCAGCATAGCACCGTCGCCCACTTCACCGCTTATCTTGGAGTCTTGGCTTACACTTGGAATCGCTACCGAAGCGGTATCCTGTTTGCCAATGGAACTCATGCACCCTACGCGATATCCTTTGGACTTTGCGTGGACCATAGTGTTTGCGTACAGTGGTAGCCTCCTGTCTTCACGCTGCCCACTCATCACAGTCTGATCGACGCGCACGCTACTATTCCATGGTTTCTTACTTGTAGTTGGCAAGTAGTTAGTGGATTTTCGAAAGTTATCATTCTTCCTTTCCATTCCACCACTAACATTGATACGCAAGCCAGATCTTACGGGGGCACATGAATCCCCTTGAGATATGATGATGCTTTTACGTCGGTGCATGCTGACGTCTAGATTTTCACCTCATGTTGTTTCCTGCAGCATGGTTTAGATTTGATCGATAAACATGTGGATTTAAACGCAATCCTCATCATCATCAGGTGACAGTGTGAGGGTTTCAGCATTAACCTGTTTGTTAAAATAGGCAGGATTATTTCCACAAGTTGGCAGCCACCTTACTGGTATAAGAATCATATTGGACCTTTGGCCTGACGACAGTGTCAATAAAAATACATAACACGACTGAGCTGCGTCTGATCAGAGAGGAATGCATCTTAGTCGCACGAATACACGTGGGGTCTGATTCTCCGTGTCCCACAAGTCGGCCAACAGACTCTTGATTTTCCACAAATACCACACGGCACATATCACATTCTCTTCCCCGAGAGCAGCCACCTCGACTGCAACGAATGAAATTGATCACGACTAGCTGATCTCACTCACCCACCACCGACGCCATAGTAAAACCAAGCAGCAGAATTTGAACAACTGGCTCTGAGAATCAATTTTTCAGTGCGGCAGATGGCATCAGTACATTATATTTGCGGGAAGTAAGGTTATCCCAGCTCTCATTCAGAGCCGATGGGGGACGTAATTAGTTCAGCCTTCAAACCAAGCAATTCAAATTTAACTATGACGGGTGATTAAACGAAATTCCAAATGAATCTCTCGTTACTATTATTCTCTAACTGAATATGCCCCGCAAGTGCCATCTCACGTTTCATTCGGCACAATATTCGAGACACAGTTATTTGAAGAACAGCATTAGTTGGAATTCTGTTAGGTCCCACGTTAACACCAAGTTTGCCTAAAAAATTAGCGTATTTTACTAATCGCGGAATGTAAATTCGACCGGAACTCGGTGACTGACTGATGAGCCCGAAGAATGGTAAAACTAGTCGTGAGCTGTCAGAGAGTTCTCAAGGAAGAAAGTGAGATATAAAATGCAGCCACTTAGCTCGAAGCAGACGAATCTCGTTCGACATGAAAAATAACAAAAAAATGATAACAACGAGAGTTGATCAGCACGGCTACAATAAATCGCCCCGATTTATACTCAAGAATACCCGCGCTGAACGCTGCTCTTGTACCACCGGTGGTGACTGTGCTGACGATGATGATAACCAAGATGATGGTCATTACCGTCTTCCTGGATGCGGATCCCGAGACGGTCCACAATGGTTAGAGGCATCGTCAGACATGGCTCAGTCGCGCCCTCAGTGGCGCTCGTGCATCCAAGCTATTGCCTCCAATGCATAGCTCCTTTTCCAACCCCCCCC